AAACCCAATCGAGTATTTCTCCTAATTGGGGAATGATTTAAATGAAGAACCTAACTTGTGAGGTATGGACAAATCTGCAAAGCAAAACAGGGAATAGACCGATGCTTGTTTATTTGAGTAAAACGAAATTGATTCTTCTTAAATAAAGTTTTGATTTTAAATTTTGTATATAGATCACTAGTTATTGAAAGAACTTTTCTTCAAGAGTTTGTTGTGATTTAACTCTGGACTAAAAATAAAAAAGATAAAAAAACTAAGGGGATAGAGCTAGGAAGGATGGCGGCAGTACAGGAAAAAGTGCGAAAAAACAATTACAAAAAATTCTTGAAAACCCGTGAAATACATCCCAACCAATGTTCTATTTTTGTCTAGCGTTCTGATTTCGTGGTGAAATGAGGCATCTTGGCCATTTTCAAAATCGAAGGTTGCAGCATCGTTTAGGAATTTCCTTTCTATCTTGCATACTCTGTGGAAATCCTTGCTTTCTTTATAACTCTTCAACATACTTTGAGATGTGTTCGGGAAAGAAAGATTAAAGAGCTTTCGATTGAGAAGGGAAAAGGAATTGGTTGCATTCAATTGTGTTTTGGACTTTTGGAAGAATGCCTTTTTAAATTGATTTCAACATTGGACTAACAGCTTTTAGTAAACTGTAATATATATCAAACACTTCAATTTATGTTAAAATTCAAGTCTTTGTTAGGCAATTATAATATTTTTTCTTTTTCTCAAAATTTCTCCTGGATCGAAAAGAAAAAGAAGTGATTTCAACATTTGTTCAGATGTCTATTGCAGAGATTTCATAAATAAATAAATAAAACTTTCTTGAAGAAAATTCTTAACTCATTCTATAACTAGGCTTTTTGGTTAAGGACTTTTTTTATTTCACTTGTACAATAAAAGACATTTTTCTTTTATCCCTTACTCCACCTCATTCATATGTCATGCCACTTAAATTTAATATTTTTTATTTTTAATAAAAAAAATTATTATTAAATTATTTAAATCATTAGCATTAAAGACTTTATCTTATTTTGGTAGAGGTTGGTGCAGTTGCTGCTTTTGTTTGTTCAAGGATTGAAAGTTAGGGCTAAGGAAAAGGATCTTTGTGTGGTGTTGATGGGTTATGATATCTTTTAAATTTTAATAATTTTAATGTTCTTTTTAAGAATGTCATTCTCTTTAATTGATAATAACAAATTACCTGTCAATAAACTAAATAAAAAATTTAATTACTAAATGAATAATTTATCAATAATTTATCTTTATTTTTCATCTTTTCAGTAGTTGGGCATCAAAAATTAAGAACTAAAATTGAAATTATTACTTTAAACAATTTAAATTTTGGATTTTTTTAAAATTTTGTAATATCGAAGCTCCCAGATAAAGTGTCCATGGTCACGGTTGGTTAGAGGGGATAGGCAAAGATGACGGAGGAAGATGAAGGTACTTTTGTTTTATTACTTTAAAAAAAAAATTAATTTAACTTGATAGAAAAAAAAAAATTGAGGTCTGCGGTTTCCAAAGTCCAGTCGGTTACTCTTCCATCACATTAAAAGAAAGGACGGTAACGTGACCAATGGATGGGCAAGCGTTATTTGGCCAGTGCAGGTGACGATTACCCCCAGCACTGGCTCTTTCTTTCAAATAACCGAGATTTAATATATTTATTTTTTATTTTTTATTTTTTTGAACGAGTGCAATTTTAGAAAAGAAGGAAAGGATCGGGATTGGGCTTCACAGATACCCCTTAACCAATCAACTTACCAATCAACTTATAAAGGATTGGGCTACTGGACTCCACAGATGCCAGTGCCCCTCAACCAATAAGCCTATCAAAGACTGCGCTACCGGTCACAGATGCCCCTCAACAAGTGCAATTTTGGAGAAGGAAAGGATTGAGATTGGGCTTGACAAATGCCCCTCAAACAATCAGCTTATAAAATGCCTAGACTACTAGGCTAGGCAAAGGTTTACTATTTTAAATCCTGAGGTCAAAGACAACCTCAAGACTCATGAAATGCCTAGACTACTAGGCTACACAAAGATTTACTATTTTAAATCCTGAGGTCAAGGAGAACTCCTGGATGGAGCAAGCAGAAGCTCCCTGCAGAGTACTTCTCATAGACCTTGAATTCGAGACCAACCCATTCCCTCCTTCCCAAACAATGCAACCATGTTCAAAAAAATAAAAATCCAGAGGTCAAGGACAACTTCAGACTCATGAGCTCAGGAGTCGTCAGCGATAGCGGCTGGAGCAGTTGCAGTGCCGGCTGCGCCAAGGCGGGCTGCTGCAGCGCGCACTGCTGCAACGCGCGCTGGTATAATTGCCATTTTTGCCTTGATGGCTAGCCTACCAGCCTCATCAGCCACTCCTCTCAGAACGTGCACAACCTTCGAAACAACCTCAGAAACACTAGCAAGGTTTCCCGTGTCGTTCTTCCATTTTTCACATATTTGTGGAAGTCTTGTTCTGTTGACCCACCCACCAAGGCTTCCGGGCACCGCGAAGATACCGTCCGCTTCGTCAAAAATGGATGAAAGCCAGGTGCACGACTTTGAAAAGTGGTCGGTAAATCCTTCCACATTTCTAGTCAGCGTACAAAATTTTGTGGTAAAAGCAGCTGCTCCGAGGACCAACTTAGCCCCAGCGGATTGATGATGTAGCTGGTTGTGATACTCTTGATGTTGTCTGCTCATATTCGAACCACAACGACGGCATCTAACGCAATCCGTCCTATCAAAAGGTAAACATGCAGTTAATATATATATATAAAAGTGAGACAGGGTACAGATCTTATCGCTACTGATGATGGATGGTTCCCTGAATACAAAAAAAACCCCTCCATGGTTTTAAAAAGTGCAGCTGGCATGGTACCATATATTATAAATTTTTTTTTTTTTTTATTTTCAATATGAACTGCACAAAGTGTATTTCTGATATTAAATTATTAAAATATCTTTAATAAAACTTTATTCCATGTTGATTTATCAATGATATTTTGGTAATTTTAATACACAAACAGTATCCAAACTGCAGTTTTTCTATGATCAGTCTACTAAAAAACGTGGATTCTACCACATATATAATTACTAAAAACATGGTCAAGATTCAGACATCAGTCACTAAGAAACGTGATCCATTAGCAAAGCCAAGTGATCATAAACAATTGGCTAAAATATCAATCTTA